CTGGGATTACAGGCACGTGCCATCATGCCCAGCTAATTTTTTGTAGTTTTAGTAGAGACGGGGTTTCACCATGTTGACCAGGATGGTCTCGATCTCTTGACCTCGTGATTCACCCGCCTCGGCCTCCCACAGTGCTGGGATTACAGGCTTGAGCCACCACGCCCGGCCTTAAAAATTCTTAAGACTAAACGGTTAAACAGAGAGTTGTTGTTTTTTTTTTCTAATTATACTTTTAAGTTCTGGGGTACATGTGCAGAACATGCAGGATTGTTACATAGATATACACATGCCATGGTGGTTTGCTGCATCCATCACCCCATCATATACATTAGATATTTCTCCTAATGTTATCCCTCCCCTATTCTCCTACCCCCTGCTCTTCCTCCCTTAGCACCCTAACTCCCACCCTCTGACAGGCCTTGGTGTGTGATGTTCCCCTCCCTGTATCCATGTGTTCTCATTGTTCAGTGCCCACTTATGAGTGAGAACATGCTGTGTTTCGTTTTCTGTTCTTGTGTCAGTTTGCAGAGAATGATGGTTTCCAGCTTTATCCATGTCCCTGCAAAGGACATGAACTCATCCTTTTTATGGCTGCATAGTATTCCATGGTGTATATGTGCCACATTTCTTTATCCAGTCTTTATCCACTGATGGGCATTTGGGTTGGTTCCAAGTCTTTGCTGTTGTGAATAGTGCCACAATCAACATAAGTGTGCTTGTGCCTTTGTAACAGAATTATTTGTAATCCTTTGGGTATAGACCCAGTAATGGGATTGCTGGGTCAAATGGTATTTCTAGTTCTAGATCCTTGAGGAATTGCCACACTATCTTCAATAATGATGGCATTTACACTCCCATCAACAGTGTAAAAGCATTCCTATTTCTCTACATCCTCTCCAGCATCTGTTGTCTCCTGACTTTTTAATGATCACCATTCTAACTGGTGTGACATGGTATCGCAATGTAGTTTTGATTTGCATTACTCTAATGACCAGTGATGATGAGCTTTTTAAAATATGTTTGTTGGCTGCATAAATGTCTTCTTTTGCAAAGTGCCTGTTCATATCCTTTGCCCACTTTTTGATGGGGTAACAGGGAAAGTACTTAAGAGAAGAATTTCAGTTAACAAGTGATAGGATGCTTATAGGTTGGTGTGAGCTTTATAATAATCATGGCCCTGGTTAGATGCTATCTGAATGAATAATCAATCTTAGCATCACTAAAGGTGAGGAATCCAACTTTATGTGTGCCATAATATAAAAGTAGTATGCATCATCATTTATAAAGGATTTCACCTAAAAAAAAAAAAAAACCTACTGAACCAGAATCTAATTTTGCCACTAGCAGTAAATACAGAGATGGAGGAAGATATCAGTAAAACCCATAATATAGGGATATTTTGTCGAAAAGAAAAAAGGCTTTTTTCTCCAGTAAATCAACAGCAAGAAAAAAAATAACGGGGCAAGGACTTTTTGGGAATTAAAAAAGACTTAACTGACATAATTGGAAAAAAGTATACTTATAGCAAATGTTTGTAGCCTAGGATGAACAGGTCACTAACAGTATCTTGAATGCCTGTCAGGGAATCCACAAATGCTTTGAAACAGTGTAAAACTGGTGCATGTATGGGGATCATTATATTACTTTCAGATTCTCATAAGGCATGTAACCAAAATAAGATTATCAATTCTAGTAGTGTAGTGAACCCTCTTCATGAAGATTTTCCAAAGTGAATTAGAACCACCCAAGTTAACTTTTATTTAATCTAGAAACACTGGTAATATTGACAGAAATGTGGATAACACTTCTTACTTTCTAGTTACATTTTTGAAGAGTGTTTATTTACCTTCAGGCCAGTTAATAGCTTTCCACAAAATCTGAAGTTGCTGGACCGTGAGTTTTTCTGAAGAACTATTACATATTAGAGACAGTATCTTCTCAAGAAGTACCAAGTCATCCTCAGTTAACTTCTTCTCTTCAGGTGCAGTTCCATTAAGTTCCTTCAGTTTACCTAGAACCCAAAACCAAACTTTAAAAATTCCCTAACTGTAACTGGCCAGATAATATATAAATGCCAAGACTTTCAATAAAAGTACTCTAGTGTATACCATGGAGAGTTAAGACTTTTCTCACCAATTATCAAAAAACATTAAATAAGGATAAGGCTTGTGAGTATCTTTTTTTTTTTTTTTGAGATGGAATCTCACCCTGTTGCCCACACTGGAGTGCAATGATGCGATCTTGCCTTACTGCAACCTCCGCTATCAGGGTTCAAGTGATTCTCCTGCCTCAGACTCCCAAGTAGCTGAGACTACAGGCAGCTGCCACTACACCGGCTAATTTTTGTATCTGTAGTAGAGATGGGGTTTTACCATGTTAGGCAGGCTGTTCTGACCTCAAGTGACCAGCCTGCCTCAAACTCCCAAAGTGCTAGAATTACAGGCATGAGCCACCGTGCCCAGCCTCCATTTTGAATGACTTTAAAAGCAATATCATGTGTCATATATACTCAACTATCAGTCAATCACCTGGTTTCTCAATGAGAAAATTTGTAACAACTTTTTAGCCAATTTATGTCAACTTCTATAGTTGCCAATAAAATACAGTTAAATGCCTACTGATAACATTTAATTTATGACTTAGCTCCATATGCATATTTGACATTACATTATTTTAAAAATTTATTTAATGGACATACTGCCCTTTTTTCTCCTGTTCACATTTCATGAAACAATTTCCTTCAAATCCTTCACATGTATCTTTCCTATCAGTATCCTTTTTTATCATGAATACTACTTTGAGTTGTTTCTTCAAAAATCTTTATCTCAAAAATTAAAAAAAAGCCCAAATTCTGATAATAAAGGTAAATTATCCAAATTTACAACTTTGAAATCAATTATAAATGGAAACTTAGACATGTTTCACTAATCTCAGGTATTAACAATTTTAACACTAATAAATAAAGATGAAGTTTATTAAGGAATGCAAAAATCAAGATACCTGTTAGATTTTCACAAGATTTAAAAGTCTAAAAGTGTGCATATTCTACATTATTCAAAATAAAGCGATTAAGAAAATATTCATGAGTGACTTTTATAAATGTTCATAATACTGACCCTGCCTTATACTCTGGTAAGTATGTTATGTTATCCCAATTAATTTTCATCATAATCTTTGTGGCAAACAAAGCTAACAATACTCTTGGTCCAACACAACAACAAAACACTGTGTTTTGAGGAACACAAACAGAAAAAGAAATCTAAGTCACTAAAGTAGCTTCACTTCTAATGGGCGATTTAAAATGAACTTTTATGATTTCTGAGGGCCACTAATTTTTTAAAGATGAGATCTTTATTTTTCAAATGCTTTACTCATTCATTTTCATTAATTTTTTTTCCTGAAAACATTAAGAGCTTGGGTGTGTAGACATTTTCCACCTTTAATTTTTTACTGATTAAAGTCATCATAAATTATTTACTTTATGTTTATATAAGGCTTCTTACAAAGTATTATAGATCCATTACCAGATTACCTATTTGTGGTGGACGTAGTTGTTCAATACTACAATAGAAATCTCTATTCGTATTAAATGCCCAATTCCTGACACATGTCGGGAAGAGAAACAACCTTGATAACAGCTCAAACAGTCTGTGAATATGTGAAAAGATTAATTATCAAGAGACTTACCTAATATTTGTGTAGGGTTTGCTTGGTCAAAAGTGACAGCCTCTTTTTTAGGGAAATAAATATTCATTGTTTTAGATGCAGCTGATCGGTAGGCACTATTCCCTTTTTAAAGAATAGAAGATGATGACAATCATAAGGAGTGATCAAAAATAAGATTTTTCTAACTACATAACTTAGTTTTCACAATTACTGAGACATGTAACTATTCAGTGCATGCAGTAAACAAACAAGGAACCTCAAGGGGTAATACAAAGAAATCTACAAGATTTTGTATAATTTATATTTATTGATATAATATGGTTTTGGGAATGGAAACTTAAATGTAGAACAAGAACTTTCCATCTAATACTTTCTACTTCTTTTTTGTTTCTGAGACAAGGTGCAGTGGTGCAATCACAGCTCACTGCAGCCTCAATCTCCGGGGCTCAAGCGATCCTCCCACCTCGGCCTGCCAAAGTGCTGGGATTACAGGCATGAGTCACCAAGCCTGGCCTAAGATTCAATCTAAATTATAAATTTTAAAAATCGTCAAAAAATACTATATAATTGTATGAAACTTACCATTCTCATCTTCTCTAAGGCATACTGATCTCTCCTTTCTTATGTCTTTTATTCAAAATGAGTAGTAGGCATTATCATTTTCTCTCATCTTTTTCTGTATTTATAAATTCCCAAGTTGTAAATACCTGAAGGACAGAAGTCCTAGTCTTTTTTTTTTTAATTATTTTATTTTATTTTTTAAATTCCAGGGTACATGTGCAGGATGTACAAGTTTGTTACATACATAGGTAAATGTGTGCCATGGTTGTTTGCTGAGGCGTCCTAGTCTTTCACACTTTTTTTTTTTTTTTTTAAAAATTTCACCTTCTTCCCTCCTCCCCCTTTTTTTTTTGAGACACAGTCTTGCTCTGTTGCCCAGGCTGGAGTGCAATGGTGTAACCTCCGCCTCCTGGGTTCAAGCAATTCTCCTGCCTCAGCCTCCTGAATAGCTGGAACTACAGGCATGCACCACCACGCCCAGCTGATTTTTGTATTTTTAGTAGAGACAGGGTTTCACCATGTTGACTGGGATGGTCTCAATCTCCTGACCTTGTGATCTCCCTGCCTCAGCCTCCCAAAGTGCTGGGATTACAGGCATGAGCCACCGCGCCTGGCAGTGACCTTCAATTAAAGTATAACTTAAATTTAATTTACATCTCACATTTCACATCTTAATCATTTTAAACCCCATTTTGTTCTAATGTACAGTTAAGGTGTTGTGCAAAAATATAAATAAAAGATTTATGTTAATAATTCTGAGAATATTAGGAATAGAAAAGGATGAAGGCAAAGATGAAACAAGTAATGAGCATGGTGTATAAAATTAATTGTTTGTAACAAATAAATTTTTCTTGACATAAAAATGAGCTATATACACATTGCCTGCATTCATGGTCATTAGAGTCTAGTAGTTAAGAATGCAAATAGTAATAAAATATTATCCAAATAAGTACAATGAAAAGTTCCCTGATGGAAAAGTACAGGATACAACGAAAGAAAGAGTAGGTGATCTAGCAAAGGATATATTCAGGTGTTCAGAAAAGTTTCATTGATCTTATATAATTAATATTGTATTACAAAATTAAATAAAAAAGAAAAGGGAGAAAAACAACCAATAATTTGTGGTCTAAATGACAAGGCAAAGGGCAATGCGTAAGTATGCCAAAAGAGCACAGTGAGTTCAAAGCTCTGGAGGTAGTTAGCATTACATGCTCAAGAAACTGATGCATGCCAGTATGGCTGGACAGAATGCAGTGAGGAATGTGAGGCAAGGCAAGAGAAAAATACTCACTAGGAAGCTACCAAAGAGTTTTTTTTTTTTTTTTTTTTTTTGAGTCTCCCTCTGTCGCCAGGCGCCAGGCTGGAGTGCAGTGGCACGATCTTGGCTCAATGCAACCTCCACCTCACGGGTTCAAGCAATTCTCCTGCCTCAGCTTCCTGAGTAGCTGGGACCATAGGCGCATGTCACAATGCCCAGCTAACTTTTGTATTTTTTAATAGAGATGGAGTTTCACCATGTTGGCCAGGATGGTCTCAACCTCCTGACCTTGTGACCTCCCAAAGTGCTGGGATTATAGGCATGAGCCACCACGCCCGGCCCACTGAAGAGTTTTTTAATCAAGGAAGGTGCATAAACAGAGTAAGCAATTAAAAGATTACTGGCTACAATATGGATCATGGAGAGACTAATTTGGAAGCTATTTCATTAGTCTAGGTGAGAGGTGACATTAGCTTGTACTAACTTATATAAAGCTCCAATATGTACTCTACACTGTTAAAAACTAACTTCTGAGGCCGGGCGCGGTGGCTCAAGCCTGTAATCCCAGCACTTTGGGAGGCTGAGGCGGGTGGATCATGAGGTCAAGAGACCGAGACCATCCTGGTCAACATGGTGAAACCCCGTCTCTACTAAAAATACAAAAAATTAGCTGGGCATGGTGGTGCGTGCCTGTAATCCCAGCTACTCAGGA